AAAATTTATATATGTATATACAAATATTAATTAGCATATATGTACTAAAGATAAGGTTAAACATAACTAGAGATTTTCATTGTTTTTAAGCAAGCCACAAGCAAAGTCAGAGTAATACACTCTTCGCAGTGGCTCTGTCTGCTGATATACCTTTCTTGTCTACAATTTTTGTTGCTTAGCTTTTTTTTGTAAACGTACAATATATGATTTCATAGCGCTTGCAACGGCGCAATAAGCAATACTGAAATGCAATGCGATGTATTTTTTATTATTTTTTATTTTGCTGCCGCTGCCAGCAATGGCCACAGATGGAGCTAGAGAGGGAGACGGAGCCAGCGATGGTGCCAGAGACGGGCGGGCGGGTAGTGCTAGAGAGCTGCAGTGCAGTTTTGCAGCTCTCACGGCCACAAGCGACAGTTTTGTATTAGAAACGGCAACTTGTAGCTGCAGCTAGTTACGGGCTTGATGACTACTGAAAGCTGTAGAGGAGGGAATGCGACAGGAGGGGGAGCGGCTGGCGGGCAGCAAAGGTAGCTGGAATGTTGTCGCTGCTAGTTGGCAATGTTGCCAAGTGACTGACATAGTTGTTGCTGTTGTTGCTGTTGTTGTGATTGTTGTCAATGTTGCAGTTGCGGCTTTTGTTCTGGTTCTGCTTTGCAGGGCAACAGCGAGCAAAAGTTTACAAATTTAATTTGTAGAAGCGAACAATTTATGTGTGGCATATTAGAAAGAAAAGAGTTGCGTTCTAAGCCACAAAGCGTCACCCTATGCGGGCGTCGCTGCATGCGGGCAGCGTGATCACTGATCAGAGCTGGCAGCGAGCAGCCCGCAGATACAACAGATACAAAGATACAGATAACCTGTTGTCGTTGCTGGCTCGCAGCATCTAAATTTCTGTACGTGTGTGCAGCAGAAATCAGACAAAACGGTGCTTTACATTCGTTTTTCTTTCATTTTGTTTTTGTATTCTTCTCTGCCTTTTCATCTGAGTATTTTCTCTCCACTTGCTCATGAGGCCGCGGCCACGGCCGCGGCTTCTTTCTCACTTACTTTCTTTCTCTCTGTCGCGCTTTAATGAAATGTAATTTGAAAAATTGCGCGCGGCAAATTGTTGGCTTGTTGAAGTCAGCTCGTTGTCGTCATCGTTAGAATCTCAAATATTTTGTCTTAATTAAAATTTTGCTGCCAAGCCAGAGTCGGCCCAGTCTGTGGCAACTATAGCAGCCGCGCCGACTCAGTCTAACTGCTTCGCGTGCTAGGCAAAAGTCGGGCAAGTCTTTTAAATAAATTAGCGCTGTCTATTCGTTCGTCAAGCATTTGTCGCGTTTGCATTTAGTCGGCATTTTTATTGGATTAAGTTTGGCCTGGATTTATGCGCTGTCTTGGATTAGATGCGCCATCATTCACGTTCACAGTGGCTTCATTGTTGTAGTTGTTGCAGTTGCTGTTATTGTTGTTGCAGCTGCTGTCGCGCAGCATGTAATTTGCGGTAAGTCAGCGTCTTTGCCTGTTGTTTCTTTTGGGCTTGTTGTGATTTATTTTGTTTTGTTGGACATTACATTTTAGGTTAAGTGGCGTTTATGCACAGTTGACTGTTTCGCCTGTCGCTTTGTTCGAAATTTGGGTCATAAAACAAAAGACTTAAGCAACGAACTGGTTCGTCTGCTTTGGCTTTGCATTGGAATTTGAATTATTCCTCCCAGCAGCAATCAAACTCAAATAACATAGAGCAAGAGTACAAGAAAGAAAGAGAAAGAAAGAGAGACAGAGTGAGAGAGGGAGTGAGAGGCAGAGTATTGTAACTATTTTCCATTGATTAATGACAGGTAATTTTCATCCACTGGCCGCGCGATGATGAACGAAAAAGGGAGCCAAAGATTGCGAGGCACAAAGGCATGCAAAGGGCATTCGCCTCGTCTTTCTTCATGGTTCATTATATAAGTTTCGGTTTAATTAGTTTGGCTAAAAAATTTTTTGCATTTTTTTAATGAATCTGCCGGTCCAGAGTGAAATTTAAGTTC